GGCGGCATTACGAATGAATGAATATTTTTTATTATTTTTGAGAATAGAATTTGATTGGCTCAAGCCGGCTAAGCCGTGTAAGCCAGCTAAGCCGGCTAAGCCGATAAATCCCTTAGCCGGCTAACATCACTATATTATTGGACGTTAATAAAGTGCATTAAATTTTAGTATATTTTTTTTATTTTTATGTCATCATTATTACATAAATTTTACATCATTATCAACAATAATGATGATGATGATGATGACGATACCAATTTCGAAGAAATATAAATAGTAAATCAATAAATCTAGTAAATATCAAAAAAAAAAAAAAAAAATCTAAATGTATAATAATAAAAGTTTCTCGCCCTTAGAAAACATTACGCCCTTACTTAACAACCTCATAATAAATTTTAACCAAGATGCTTCACCATTAAAATATGTCAATAAACTATTAAATGATTTTACAAAATTGTTGAGTGAATCAGATTTTCATGATGTAGAAATTAAAGTTGGAGCAGGCCAAGCTGTTAATACTTTTAAAGCCCACTCTACCATTTTGAAAGCAAGGTCCTCATATTTTAAAGCAGCTTTTTCCAGTAGTTGGATTAAAAAATCTGAAGATGGCAGTACTATTTTACTTGAAAAAGAAAATATTTCTCCAAGAATATTCGAAGTTATTTTGACGTAAGATTAAATTATATTAAAGTAAAATAGTTATAATAAGCGTATCAAAAAAAAAACCTCAACATATTATTTTTACTATTTTATTTATTTAATTACAAAGATACGTGTATAATGGAGTTGTTAATATAGAGAACCTGTACACTGATGAAATTTTAGAGCTTCTTATAGCATGTGACGAATTAAATTTCGTCGAGTTAATTGATGATTTACAAGATCATTTAATAATACATGGAAGGGAATGGATTCACACAAATTTAATTTATTTTAAAGAAATTTCATCAAAATATCAATCATTTGATTTACTTCAGGATTATTGTAGTGAATTAATTTATGAAAGTCCAGAAGTAGTATTAAAATCTATAGATACCAAGGCTATTGAAAAATCAATGCTTATATCTATATTGAAAAGTGATAATTTGAAATTGGATGAAGTTGATATTTGGGATATTGTCATTCAGTGGGGAGTAGAACAAAATGAAGCCTTAAACAAAGATATTTCAGAGTGGGATAAGGATGATTTTGACAAGTTGAAAACTACGTTGAAAGATATTATTCCATTAATTAGATTCAGTGAAATATCTGGAAAAAATTTCTATTCAAAAATCAAACCTTATAAAAAAATCTTTAATAAAGAAGTGTATGAAGAAATTCTTCAATACCATGTTACTAATAAATGGCAGCCAAGATTAATAATTCAACAAGGCCCAAGAATTGGAAACGGAAGATTATTAAATTTACAAATGAAATTATTAATTTCTAATTGGATTGATTGGAAAGTAAATATTTATAATAAAAATGATTCAGAACAATATGAATTTCGTTTGATCTTGCAAGGGACAAAAGATGGGTTTTCTGGGGAAGTTTTTGAGCAAAAATGTTACGATATTGAAAAAACTATAGTATTGATGAAATTTAAAGAAACGGGTGAGTTAGTAGGCGGCTATAACCCAGTTTGTTGGAATAAAAATCAAAAGACTTTAGATGAAGAATATCCTATTCATGCAGATAAAAGTTTTATTTTTAAAATTGATGAAAATCAACCTAATAATTCAATGTTAAGTAGAATAAAAAAACCTGACTCGGCAATATATCATAAAGGCAGGAATATTAATTTTACTTCAGATGATATTAGATTTAACCAAAGTTCCGTGAATTTTAACGAATTAATACTATATAAGAGTAATAGTAATGAACCTTATTGTTTTTATGGTCCCAATAATATTTATGAGTATAATTTAAGTCTTAAAAATAACAATAAGAATGTTCATTTGTTAGAAGAGTGTGAAGTGTATAAATTAATAACGAAAGATTATTGATTTTTATTTACATGTATAATTTTAAACTTAATTGTTATCTGTATAAACATTAATAATAACAAAAAATAAAACTTCAAAATGTCTAAAATATTACACTCTTATTTAACAACCTAATAAGTTCTAATCAAGATTCTTCGCTAATTGACGACTTTGTATAAAAAAATGGTACTATGGTACTATTAAAATAATATATTTTTATTTTGAGTTATGAAAACAAATGTCAAAGAACATATTTTAAAGTTGGAGAGTACCAGTTTATTAAAACTTGTTAATATATTTAATAGCGAAATTTTCCTTCACCGATTCATAGACGGTTTATATATAGCAATAATTTTTAAAATTATCATTTATATTTTTAAAAGATATGTATGTACAATGGAATTAATTATTAATATAGATAACTTATATGTAAATGAAATTTTAGAACTTCTTGAAGCATGCGATGAGTTAAATTTTAACAAGTCAATTGACAATTTACAAATCATTAATCATAAGAGAGACGAAACAGAATGGATTAACAAATTTTATCTTGAAGAACTTTCATCAAAATATCAACCGTTTAATTTATTTCAAGATTATTATAATGAATATTTTTAAAATCTAATGACTTCAAGGCCATTGAAAAATCGATGCTTGTAGTCTGCGTCAATTGGAAATTCACGCGCGTGAAAATCAAATTAGCCAATCAGAATTTGTATTCAAATTGACACAAATTTGATTTTCACGCACCTACATGTTGGTTATTATTGATATTTGGGGTTACGTCATTGAGTGAGGGGATGAAACATTAGAAAAAGATATTTCAGAGTGGGGTAAGAATGATTTTAACAAGTTGAAAGTTACATTGAAAGGTTTTATCCCTTCAATGGGATATCTGGAGAAAACTTCCATGAGAAAATCAAATCTTATAAAAAGATTTTTGATAAAAATATATATGTGACATTATCATGTTACTGATAAATGACAACCAAGACTAATACTTCAAAAAAAGTCCAAGAATTGCAAAAGGAACATTATTAAGTTTACAAATAAAAATTATTAATGCCTAATTGGATTTATTGAAGAACAGATAATAAAAATGAATCACAAAAATGTGAATTTAACACAAGGTGAATTTCTAGGCTAGCTTTGGGGTGAGTATTTTGGTATTGAGCAAATTGTAGTGTTGATTTTTTGGATGGCTATAATCTAGTTTGGAATATAAAAGAAAAGTCTCGAGAAGTAAAATGTTGGATTGAAACTGATAAATATTTCATTTTAAAATTTAAAATTTATTAGCTACAATATTTCGTGATTACAACTATATAGTAGTATTAATAATGAATCTTATTATTAAATAATATAATAATATTTATGAGAACAATTTGAATCTTGGAAAAGTTCATTTGTTAGAAGAATGTATAAATTGGTAATGAAAACCTAATGACTTTAAATTAGCATTTGCGTCCCTATCAGTTTTAATTTTTAATTTTATTATTATTATTATTTATTGTATAATACAATATAATATTGTCCAATTTTTTTACTTCTATTCCTATTCACTATAAATAATTGGCTATTATTAATAATTATTTATTAAATGGTTAGTCATCTTCTGGTATTTTTGGTTGTTTCCTAATTATACTAGCTCTCCATTCTCTTTTCTCCTCCTATTAAATATCAACAAAATAATAATATCATTATTATTACTATTGTCATAATAATACTAAAGAAAAATGTTAAAGAAAATAAATACCTCAGATTTATTTGATATGAAACCTTTCCATGCACCCGTAAATTCATACATTGACATTATACCTCCAATACCAAGACAAGCGCCTAAAGCCAATGGATATGAATGCGCTATAATCATAAAATCATAATTATTGTTATTACTCCTCAAAAAAGAGAAATTTTTTAATTAATTAATTAATTTTATTTATACTAGTATTATGGATCGATTGTTTTATGTACCTTTAACACCGGCAACTAAACCAGTTGTACATCCAGCTACAGCACTGTTAAACATATCATTAGTTTGACGAAAATTGGCAGTTATGGATTCTGTTGCCGTAAATATGCCTCCCAATAAAGCTATTTATTATTTATTATACATTTCGATTAGAAGTTGACCTTTCATCAGTTACATTTGATAAAATTATATATAAAGCTGTTTTTGTTTACCAAAATGTGTAATTGTAGATCCAGTTCTTGAAAAAATATTAGTAATGCTTTTATCCACCAATGCATTTCTAAAACCTGCAACTACCAAACCAGCACCACCAAAACCTGCTGTTGCTTTTAATGTATTCTCTATTACAGGTTTTTCATGATATACTTCTTTTACATCAGTGTCAATTGTGGTGGAAACTGTCATTTTTTTTTAAAAAAAAAAAATATGATGTATATACAAAAAAAAAATATTTGTTACACGGTTCGTAGATAAATTTACATTTTCAAAAAAAATTTATAAGTGATGAAAGTGGAAGAATTAATTGATCTTGGAGACGATGAATCAAAAAATGGATATGTAATTTAGGAATACAAGTGACAAAGAATCATAAAATGTCGGAAGAATTATATTATACGAAACACGCATACAAAAAACATTCATAAATACACACACACTTGTATAAATAAATTTTTATGATTAATAAAATCTATTATGTAATTATAATAATTTGGTTTTTGGGTAATCTAAAAAATTAATTAAATGGTAAAAATATATTAATATTTTGTAATAAATTATCATCATCATTTATTATTCTTATAAATATCAGCAAAAAAAAATTATTTTTTTTTGAAGTTCATCTCACTCACAAATAATAATAATATTATTTCAGATGGCCCCTGAACTTTTTGGTCATCATTTAAAAAGTTTGTGAAAAAGAAAAAGAAAAATTGAACTTACCAATAATTATAAATATAATTCCAGAGTTCATTATCAATAAATAATTGGATAATTGATAAACACCGAATCCTTAAAAATCGTTGTCACATTTATTAATTAAATAATAAATATAGAAATATAAACATTGAAAAACAAATAAATAAACGACTCCAAAAAGAAATAGAAAAAAACTAATTAGTTCCAGTCTTTCTTAATATCAAAAGACTGTTATAGAAAGAGAAAGAAATGAATACAATAGAAATTAGTAATTTCAATAAAATCCAAGAAATAATAATAAATCAAAAATCGCTTACCCAATTCCATTGAATATGAGTAACATTATCATCATCAACAAATTTACTCTATAAAAAAAAATTGAATATTTTAAAAAAAATATCATTTGCGTAAATCATTTATATTGCTTATAAAATATAATTTTAAAGTAACCTTTGCTTCATAATGTCCACGAGCTAGCATACCAGATGGAGCTTCTTCCACCATAAACTAAAAGCAAAATATTCCATTTGTTATTCGTAATATAATAATAACCATTTATAAATATGCATAATATTACCTTTTTCTCATAAGGTTGTTCATTTGGTCCATAACTTCCAATCATTTCACTAGTTGAATCAACTATATAATGAAAAATAATAAAAAATAAATCTTTGATATATTATAAATGTACATATATATACAGATCTAAAAATAATTACCTTTGATTCCTTTTCTTTTAACAACTTGTAAATATTTAAGACCTGAAACAACTTCATGTTGGATTCTAATCAAGGCATGAGCAATTGATTAATTGACTGGACGATTTGCATTCATTCAATCATTTTTTCTCATCGTATGTTTTTAATCACTTACTTAAATACAGCTTTCATACGAAATTCAACACCTTCTTTAATAATAAATGGTTGTTCTTTGATTCTATCTAGCGCGCCTAATTATTAAAAAAATTCATTAATTAATAAAGAGTTTATGATAAAAAATTCATGATATTCGAATAATTACCTGGTTGTGATAAATCTAAGACAACATCTTCTCTACCAGCAACCTCTAAAGCAAGTTTCAAAATTACCACCTATATAAAAATCGAAATTAAATAATAAGTCAAATTATATACCATATATATATGATTTATGCCACAGTTCACTAAATTGTATGTTAAAAAAAACTTACTCTACGAGGGTCATCTTTTGGGCCTTCTGCCGCTTTGCCCAAACCAAGAGATTCCTTCCATTTTTTAAGTGATTCATCATTAGAATCCAAATTGTTATATTCTTCAATAGTTTTCTTATCTCCTATTTTATAATTTGGTTGAGCGGATTCAAAATCATCGTCATGTTCAGTCGACATATTATATCAAAAATATATATTTTATTGTTACAAAGGATGTGAATTTTACTATATTATATAAAAAATGAATTGGTAAAAAAAATTTTGACAATCAAAAAATAATGCATATAAATTATTTTTATGTATTGGTAATTATTGTACAATGTAGTACATAAATTCAAAACTTTTGCAATATGTATTAGTATGCATTTCTTGGAGATCTTATTTACACATGATTAACGCGATATTGCAAATATGTTCTGGTCTTATTGAGTCGAGTGGAAGGAGTTCTCAAGTCTCAGTATCTTAATGATCTACGGCCATTCTTTAGTATTTATCTATATAGCATCTGATGGCCAGCCCCGAGGGTGGAAAAAATTTGACATTTGTTTCCGGGGCAAGAAGGTTCAATTTTATATATCTCAATATATTAATATTTGATATTTGATATATATTGGACAATTGTTTCTTAAAAAAAAATAAGATGTTAATGCTCCAATTGATAAAAACGAAATGATTTACACCTATATATAAAGTCTTTTTTTAAATAGTAACGTACAATGTGTTGCGAAAAAAATCAAAACCGTATATCTCAACAATCACACATTGAAAGTAAATAAAAATAGATTCATTTGAAAGCGCATTATTTATTTTATTAAATATAAAAAAATTAATACGAAATTCTATCTCCATTTTTTTGTAATATTAATTCACGACGATTTTTCATAGATTTAATTAAATTTTGTATTGTTTCATGAGGGATTTTATCCCATTCTTCAACCATAAATTGTTTCGACTCACTAATATTTCCTGGCATTCTTCTTTCTACATTATTTTTTACGATCTGCCACATATTTTCAATGGGATTCAGATCGGGACTGTTTGATGGCAAGTCTAAAACATGAATATTATTTTGGGATAAAAAGTCCTTTGCAACACGCGAAGTGTGCTTAGGATCATTATCTTGTTGCAAATGTCAGTTTCTACCACACAACTGTTGAGCAGCAGGAAGAAACTGGGTTTGCAAAATATTCACATAAAAAGGACCATCTATTATTTCTGTAAAGCAAAACAAAGGGGTTTTGCCATTCAATGAAATTCCACCCCAAGCCATTACCTTTTGTGGTGATTTTGGTAATCTTCTAACTGGTCTTTCTCCATTCTTATACCATCTTGAAATTTTATTACGAAATAAATCGAAAGCAGTCTCATCTGTAAAGATGGTATAGTCCCAGTTATCGTTCAAATGAGCCTGTGCCCATGATTTTCGAGCATCGATATGACTACTGGTAAGCATTGGGGTGGAAAGTGATACGGTACTATTATACCCCTTTTTTGCCATGTGTCGCCAAATATTAGTATGTGAAATAGATACATTATGTGTATCTTGAATTCGAACTAAGTTGACGTGTTGTAATTGCAGAATTATGGTGAGCCAGTTGCCTAATTGAACGTGAAACAGTGCGTGTAACTTTAGAACGACGGCCATTACCACCAATATGTTTAACAGTGCCTTTTTCTTTGAGTATTTTGATGTTGTATTGAATAGTACGAATGGGAATCTTTTGTTTTTGTATATATTTGTTTGGCAGTACGAATTCCATTTAGCCAGTAACGTAGAATTGTTTGACGTTGCGCCTCAAATTCTTGATTGATCATATTTGCAAGGTTTAAACGAAATAAACAATGAAGTAGGATAATTTCTTTTTTTTGTAACGAGATTAAAAAGAAACAATAAACATTTATAAAAATGGTAATCATGTAAACAAATGTACTTTTTTATTTATTATAAAAATCAATTTTACAATTCACGCGCAATTTTTTTCACAACACGCTGCAAATATAGTAGACAATTACATTATAAAAAGACTTCGCCTCTAATTGATCTCATTAACATTCTTTTTTTTTTCTTTTTTTTGAATTCTAGTGGGCAAGAAGTTGTTATGTTATAGATTTTATTCCTGACAAACTCCATGGGTATTGAAGTTATCTAGATGGCCAAAGTAGTAAATACGGTTTTTTCCTATTATACATATAATTACAAAGTTTATTTAAATATTACTATGTAAATAATATTTTTTTTTAGTGGAGTGAAAATTACTATTTAATTTTCCTTACTTCTAGTAAAAGTATACGGGGCATTGAAGTTATCTGCAAAAACTACTTATTTTTTATTTTACAAAGATGGCTTTGCAATTAGGAAGTTGCAACTCAGAAGCTTGCAACCCAAAAAATTTTGACATCTAATGCTGCAACTGCTGCAACCTCTGATTGGTCGGCTACTTCAATCACTATAAATCTAATTGGATTTACAAAGTGTCCTTGACAATGATGCAATCTTGATAAATTCCAGAGCCACATACCCCCGTGAAAATTTAGTTGCATCATCATATTTAAGGTTCGGACGGTTAAATGCCAACCTGGATGTTTTAAAGGCCGACCCGAGACCAACCCGAAAATATCGGGTTGGCTTCGGGTTAATAAGTAAATTTTGCGGTTTACGTAGATTTAGGTATTGATTGAATATAAAAAGCGAAACAGTTATATTGGTTTAAAAGCCGCAATTGGTGTTGTAACACAAAACACAATTTATTTGTGATATAAGAGATGTAAGGTGCAATTCGTGATGCAAGACGTAATTCAAAACAACTCGCGACGCAAGGCGTAATTCATGCATGATTCAAGACATAATTCAAGACATAAGACTAGTGATAATGGTTGGAACTAACTGATAATTTAGGCATTTAGGCAATTTTGGTTTAGGCCTAAAAAGAAATCTTTACTTTTTTAAAAAAAATATTCTTTATCAGTTAAATAATCAATAATTGCCTAAAAAAAAAATTTAAGCAGTTAATTATGAAAATGATTAATTATTCAAATTGTCAAATATTGTTATTATTACCTTTACGCTTTCAGTAATTCCAAGTTTATCTGTATGAATATGAATTTCAGGTGATAATGGCTCTTCAAAAAGAGCAGAAATACCAGTAAATTCTTTTATTATAATTGATTATAAATAATTAGTGGGTAATAAATAATAATAGCCACCCAAAAATAAAAAAATCCCTTTTATATTACTAGCTCTTGCTTTTTTATATAATCCTTTATAACTCATTGTTCAAGAATTTCAATAGGTGCATCAATGAAAACTTCAATAAAAGGAATTCTTGATTCATCATGTAATTTTCTAGCAGCATTACGATCATTTCTATAAGGTGATATAAATGAATTAATATCGATAGTTGTAGAATCTCAAACAACTTTGCTAGCTAAAAAAAGAATAAGTGCTCCCAAAAAATCAATATCAAATTTTATTTACATTCCTCCTGCCCCCAAAAAAATTACCTCGGCTACAGTACACACTCTCTATAACGGCCTTTTCTATAACGGCCTACATTCTATAACGAACTGGGAATTGGGTCCCAATTTTTTACTATATAAAAATATCACTCTATAACAGTCCTCTTAATTAAATTTCCTATAGTGTATAACGGCCTGTCCCTATTTTCTAAAGATTCACTTGCACAATCTCTTTCTGCAGTAATATACATGTATCTTTTTTTGATCTCTTTAATATATTCACATTCATGTGCCAAATGGGCTTGCAGTTTATTAACAACTCCATTACTCCATTCACAATTACATGCTTTGCATTTGTCCTGGATGTTTTGAAGGATAACATTCAAATGTTGCCAACTGCATTTTTTGGTCGCCCACATATTTTTTTGAATTTGATGAACTATTTATATCTGTTGTACGTGAAAATGAAATTATGTGAATTCGCAATTCACATGTGAAATTCAAATTCAAATTAGCCAATCAGAATTTCACCCCACTCCATAATATTTCAATTTCACATACAACATCTCTATATCAGTATTGTTTGACATTATTGCGAGTGATTATATATATTTTTAAGAGAGAAAAAATTATATTAGAACAAATAAGAAAATTATATTTATATTGATTTAAACTAAACCATGATTTAATTGTCAGGACAATAATATCAAAATAAAAGGAACTTTTGATAAAAACGTTGGTCACTTGAAGAGAAAATGAATTCGAACAAACAACATGTCACATTACCATAAATCAGTTTTAGGAGTTTCAAAATACTTTGGGAGTTTTGAAATAGTTAGGAGTTTCAGGTTAGTTTCGAAATTTTCTAAACTAATTTAGAAAGGAAGTTAGAGTTTAGAAAGGAACATCTATTTTAATCATGTAATGCATTCATTTTTGATGTTTATTTCATTCAATTGCATTGGCATTGAATGTTAGTTATTCTAAATAATTAAACAACTTGTTGAAGAACGAACATGAAGCTCTACATATTTGTGATCATTGAATTGTCCTTTTAAATAGATGATTATTTTTATAGTCCACAGTAAAATTTTATTTAATTGACAATTAGAAAGTAAAGTGAACATTAAAGCAACCAAAATATATTGTTTCTAATTCCAAACTCCTTAATTTATCCAATTTATTTCTTTTAAAAGAACATGTTTAATGCTATTTATATAAAAAAATGCCGTATTTATTGTCATCATTGTTTTTTTCATTTTTCAATTTACTGACTTCACTTTCCAATTTATTGAGTTCACTTTTCAATTTATTGTTTTCACTTTTCAATTTATTGTTTTCATTATTCAATTTATTGATGGTATTACTATTTTTATTGATTGATTTATTGTTTTTACTGATTGTTTGATCTTGTTTTTTGATTTTATTTCTCAATTCATTGATTATTTGATCATTGTTTTTACTTTCAAATTCATTGTTTTCACTTTTTAATTTACTTTCCAATTTATTGACTTCACTTTTCAATTTATTGACTTCACTTTTCAATTTATGGTTTTCATTACTAAATTTACCAATTGTTTGATCTTGTTTTTTGCTTTTATTTCTCAATTCATTGATTATTTGATCATTGTTTTTACTTTCAAATTCATTGTTTTCACTTTTCAATTTACTTTCCAATTTATTGACTTCACTTTTCAATTTATTGTTTTCATTACTAAATTTACTAATTGTTTGATCTTGTTTTTTGCTTTTATTTCTCAATTCACTGATTGTTTGATTGTTTTTTCTTTCCAATTTATCTTTTCCACTTTTCATTTTATTGAATTTACTTTCCAATTCATTTTTTTCACTTTTTAATTCATTGATCATTTTATCAAAGTCACTTTTCAATTCATTATTCTTGGTTTCCAATTCTTGGATTTTAATTGATTGACTCCCAAAATTTATAAAATCCCTCATAAATTCATTTTTGTTTTCCAATTCTTTATTTTGATTTGCTAATTCATTGTATTTACTAGTCAAGTCATCATATGTAATTTTCAATTCATGGATTATCTTGTTGGATTTGCTTTCCGATTCATTGTTTTTATTCACTAATTTTTTGATTTCGCTTTTCAATTCCTCCCGATCTCTTAAAATATTAGTATAGTCATCTTTACTAATTATAGAAAGCTTTCCAAAATCAAACTGGCTGATTGGTATTGTAACTTGTCCTTGTACAAATTGTTGTAATAATTGCAGGTGTGTGAATTTTTTCTGATTTTGCAAGAGTTGTTGCTGTTGTTGTGTGAATTGCTGCTGTTTTTGTAGGAGTTGTTGACGTTGTTCTAAGAGTTCTGAGAGATGTTGCTGGTGTTGTGTGGGTTTTTGTTTATATTCTATGAGAAGTTGCTGTTGTTGCTGTTGTGTGGATTGTTGCAGTAGTTGTAAGAGTTCTTGCTGTTGTTGTAAGTGCTCTTGCTGTTGTTCCAAGAATTTTTGTTGTTGCAAGAACTCTTGCTGTTGTTGTAAAGGTTGTTGCTGTTGTTGTTGTTTTGAGAGTTGTTGTTGTTGTTGTGTTAATTGTTGCTGTTTTTGTAATAGTTTCTGCTGTTGTTGTAAAAATTGTTGCTGTTTTTGTGGAGGTTGTTGTAATTGTTGTTGTAAGAGTTGCTGCTGTTGTTCTAAAACTTCTAAAAGTTGCTTTTGTAAGGCTTGTTGCTGTTGTTGTAAAACTTGTTGTTGCTGTTGCTGTTGCTGTCGTGTTTGTTGCTGTTGTTGTTGTAAGTGTTGTTGTTGTTGTAAGAGCTGTTGCATTTGTTGTAATTGTTGTGTGAGTTTTTTAAATTGTTTTTTTTTTTGTATGGGTTGTTGTTTTTGTTGTTCCAAGAGTTGTTGCTGTTGTTCTAAAAATTGTAGCTGTTGTTCTAAAAGCTGCTGCTGATATTGTGAGGATAATTGTTGTTGTTTTTTAAAGTTTTGTTCTTGTTGTTCTAAGAATTCTTGCTGATGCTGTGTGAATTGATACGTATCATAAGCATTCAGATTTTCTTTATCAATGTCACCATCATCATACTCACTAAGACCTTCTAAAGTGACAATTGAATCCGCCATTTCCTTTTTTTTTTGAAAAAAATGGAAAAAATTTTGTGAAACCAAAATTTAAATTTAGAATTAATATGCGCAATGATTTGAATACAGCTAAACTTATCAACAGAAGCTTTAAAATAATTATTATTACTGCCTCAATGTTCAGCAGAGATAAAGCATTTTAACTGTGTTTCATAATAATTTAATAAAAACCAATCTTGACTAAAATATGCAATCATAATAATAATTATTATAATTGTGAATTTATATTATTACTTATTGTTGTTTCTCAACTTGCCTTCCAATAAGTCTTTTAACAAAATTCCTCAATGAATAATAACACCAAGCACTCTTATTCAAAAATTTCTACAATCTATAAAAATCCCACCATGGAGGAAATGACATGTTTGACGATTTGGTTGATAAATTACAACTTCATACCTGCTATAATTTACCTGGTGTAGCTTAGCTTTTCAAAAAAAATACATCCAATTGAAATATTTAACATACACCTGAAATTTTATAATTAAGTCAATATTTTGTTGGCCATCCATTGCTTTCAATAACAGCTTGACATACTCACTATTAATTTCATAAGGGCATCATTTGTAATTCTTCTTGTTAAAATTTCTTGTATTATTTTGACGTCTCCTAATTTTTTCTTACCATGTTCAATTGGGTTCAATTCAGGTGATATTTTTGAATTTACAACATTATAAAGGCTGATTATTTCACCACATTGGATCTGGAGATTTTAATATTGAAATGATTTTTGTTTAAAAAAGACTTCAAAGCAACTTAGATGCTTATTTAAGGCATGCATTCTCACTTGTATAGTAATTAAATACGCTTAATTAATTTTTTTTGTCAGAAATATCTTTGAAAAAAATTTTCGGACAAATTTTTTATTTCATCATAAAAGAGTAGAATTTTGCACGTATATACAATACCTGGACACCCTAAATGTATTAATTACACAAAAACGTACATAACAAGTATACAAAAAAATTTATGTCAGTTATAGCTTAGGTTCCGAAGATTATGTATACAAGATCTTATTTACTAGAACTTGAGTAATTAAAAATAACGGAAATTCAAATATTTTTAGAAAAATGTTGATCATCAATTTTATTAGTGATGGTTACTGTTATTAATTACCCACAACTATTTTTATCTTAAAGTAATACTTAGTTGGCCAACCATTACTTTTAATGCATGCTTGGATTCTTCGGGGCATACTTTCTATCAAATTTATTAAAACATTTTCAGGAATGTTTTCCATTCTTTGTGCAAAGCAACCTTTATTTTTAAAATTATTAGGTCTTTACGAATTCTCATTTCCAACTCTTTCTATAGATGTTCAATTGGATTCAAGTCAGAAGATTGACTTGGCCAATTTTTTAAAGTTTTTATTTTATTTGTTTCTATCCATGTTTTGACGACTTTTGCTGTATGGACAGGTGCATTATCATCTTGAAACAAATACCCTCTTCCATTAAATTTATTATAAACATACGGGAGCAACTGCAATTCTAGTATTTCTATATAGTCATTGCTATTCATTTTTCCATCTACTTTTATTAGTGGACCTAGCCCTTTTCCCTCATACCATTATGCCTCCACCGCCACGTTTCACTGTTGGGTCAAGATTTTCAATATTGTATCTGGTTTCAGGTGTTTTCCAAACATAACCTGGACCATCATTTTGAAGTAAAGTGTACCTGCTCTCGTCACTCCAAATGACATTTTTCCATTTTCTAATAGTTCAATCTTTCTTATCAAGGCACCATTTTAAACAATTGACCCTCTGCTGTTCATTAATAAAGGGTTTAGCTGCTGGAACATGAGCATGGATATTTAAATCATGTAGATTTCTTCTGATTGTTTTAGTAGAGACTTGTAAATCAGTTATTTTATTGAATTTATCTTTTATTTGTTCAGATTATTTTTTTTAATGATTTTTCAATTCTTCCTGATGAACACTATCTAAAATTTTAGGACGTCCACTCCTAGGTAACGTTTTGACATCATCTCTCTCTGGATCGTCCTTATTACTGTGGTCCTAGGAAAACCAAGAATTTCACTGATTTTTATCAAAGTTTTCAAAAAAATTTTTAAACAAGAAAATATAAAAAAAAATTACCTTGAGATCATCATATATCAAAATTTCAAACCATGTTATTTATATAGTTTTTAGAAAAATTGTCAAAAATTTCTTCGTCGGGATTTTTTTTCCAAAAATGATCGTATTTCTTTTTTTAATTGCGCGAGTTCTAGAAAATTCGGTAATATAAGATTCTATATACATAATCTTCGAAACCTAAGCTATAAATTGACATAAATTTCCTGTACACTTATTATGTACGTTTTTGCGTAATTAATATATTTAGGTGTCCGATACTTTTGTCCAGGTACTGTATACTGTATGTCACAATTTGTGATTGTTGGAAATTTTGATGATTTTCATCAAAAAAAATTTTTTTTTTCTGATTTCTTTTATACAAGTAATTAATATAAATAATAAATAATCAAGATGCAGATTTTTGTTAGAAATTTAAGCGGTAATACTATTACCGTCGAAGCTCAACCATT